GGGGGCATCGATACAGACACACAATCAACCCATCAAACCGCAAAGACACTTCACCCGTAGAAACAACCTTTGTCCGAAGTACTTGGGCAACTTCTGAAGGAAGGAGATTTGATTCCCCGCCTCCTTCACCACTCCCAAATGAAATGATGAACGAAAGCAAATATTGTGAATGACATCAACATCATCAACACAATACCCAGGATTGCATCACTCTAAAACATCAAATCAAAAATTTGAGAGAAAAATGGGTCACTAAAGTGGTGAAACCTAGTGAGCATGTCAAAGACGGTCATCAAAAAATGGGGATCTATGTCGACCCATTGCCTACCATTGATCCTCAGCACAGTACGCCACTGCCTACGACCATGAAAGTTTTATCATCGGATCCAAGGAGAAAGGTCGCGGTCTCTACCATCCATGAAGAGTTGTACATTATAGATTCATCCCTACTCATCTTCCCGTGCATTATACCGGCTACCCCCAATGATTCCATGGCAAACCACCCCTCAAGAACCTCTTCGAGACATCTCAATGCCCACCATTTATAATGACCAAGGGGATGATGTCACATCTGAACCTCAGACATAGCATCAAAACATTATAATGTCAACTGCTTCAGAGATCTTGGAGGAATTTGCCCTTTAGGGTCCCCGTCACAGCCTCAAGACATTGAAATGGCACCTAAAGAAGAAGCCGAACAAGGTAATTGCTTATCTCCCAATAGCTTGGCAGTAACCAGAGTTGAAGAAGGGTAACTTGCTCAAAAAAATAATCCAATTGGAAGGGGAATAGGAGGAGTTTGGCACATGGATGAAAGACCAACCCTTCTACACCCTTACCAATCATCACTTGACTTACAAGACATGGTCGATATTTCAAGCCAACTCGGCTCAGAGCTGACACGTTATAGGGAAGGATAGCGAATCCAGCCCCTATGCCACAACCGGTCACAAACTACCCAACCTCTAATGCTAAACCAGTTCGGAGGGGGCAACCACTAATCTCCATAGCACCTATGACTTTCTGGCACACCTATATAGGATCGCTGCTTCTATATCCATCTTAGATTTGCTTAGGAGTTCTCCTATTCACTGGCATCAAATTGAGAGTATGCTACAAAAAGTGTATGTACCACCTAACACTGGACCTGAACAACTTAGTGGAATGATCACACAATTGACGAGCTCAACGCCCATTACTTTTAGCGATAGCGACATTCTTCTCGACACAGACTGATACTATATTTGAGCATTGTACATCAAGGCTCATGTAACCGACCATGGAATCCTCGAGGGTACTCATTGATAATGGGGCAGCCCTCAACATCTGTCTGGTTAAGACCCTAGAAAGAATAAGTATAGACCTATCTTATCTAGAACCCTCTCAACTCACCATCATAGCTTACGATGGGCGTAAGAGACAGGCAGAGAGCATTACGCCCATAGCTCTTAATGTAGGACCCATACCTCAGATAGAACAAGTATTACTATGATCCCTAACTACTCCTAAATACCTAGGATCGAGTATTATAGGCAAGCAAATGGTTCCAACCATGAAGGATGAGGCAGGAAATTGGGGAATGGCACTCTGAAATGTAGTAGTTGAAACCATTTTCCCACAATTCCTTTGAGAGGTAACCAAAAAGAAGAGAGGTGAACTTGTCCCCAATAGAGTCGCCAGATGTTTAGGATAATCTGAAGTTGAATGTGAATGTAGATGCATAAACAACTCAAGATGGCTTCAGAGGATATGCAAATAGGGTGGATCCATATACATAGTTTTGTTTTGTTTAGGGTAAACGAGCTCCAAGGTACCCATGGACACTTTGTTAATTGTATTCATTATCTTACAAAGGAGTGAAAAACCTTTGTTTAATTGATTACAAATGGATTTCCTAAAGGAAAAATTGTTTCATGCGGGCTGGACCGCATTTCTATATCTACGGTCCAGAAAAATGTAAAGCATCAATGTTAAAGATGGCTGCACGTAGGGGTTCTATCTAAAAACAATGGAAACCAACGGTCCAAATGTTTTCCTACTAGAATTATTATTTATAGCTTTTAAAATTTATTTATTTTTTCATATTCATGATCTCCATGTTAGAAATTACATGTCCTTAAAAATTAAGTCTTAAAATCCATCTCAAAAATAGATTTCTTAAGAGGTATGCGGGCTGGACCACGTAGAAACATTGTCCTTTACTAGAAGTATAGAGATAATACAAAAAACATCCTTCGAATTCGAAGGGTCTTCTGTCTGGCTGCTACTAACTAAGTGTGTACACAACCGGTTTTTTCCTCGTTTCAATTTTTCTTTTCCCAACTAAAGCACTCATATTGATTCTTGTTTTTGTAACAGGATAGCCATGTTCCCTGTGCTACATGTTCTTTTCCTTTGGTGTGTGGACGTTCATCAATGTACCCATGAGGTTTTCATAATCCCTTGCTTAGCTTTCAAATGAGTGGATGGGGTGGAGCAAGATGAGGATGGGAAAAGATTGGAGAAGAAATTTCTCTGGTTATTAGAGAAGAAAAAGGGGATAAATGATATTCAAGCTCTGGAAATTCCTTGTCGTCCATTACATGGTCACAAGTCTAAATCATGCAAGGCATGGTTAATTTAACACACATGGATTAAAACTGGTACATTTTCTCTTATACCTATACTACTCGATCACTATATTCTTACAATGAGAGATATATAATGCTCAAGCCATCCATGAAGGCTAATGCTCTGTTTGGGGCAGCAGTATAATTGCGATGGAATGGGCAATGTGCACAATTACAATAATGGAACTCGACCAGTAGTTTGGGGTTCTGCTAATATTGTTTGTATACTCACTCGCATGTATTCATATACAAAGATGCTATGACGTTTTTGACAAAGAAAAAGACCCAAAACCAATTCCGTGGATGGCAAGGATGATAGTGATAATAAATGAGAACACGTTTAAAATCGATAATCTCCTGTCCGATTTCCCGTCCCGATGTAGGCCTCTGGTTTTGTTGTGAGTTTGATAATGGAAGAGATGGGAACCAGGCAAAGCCCTCTACTTCCTAAGTCCATCGTTACATCTCCTCCCTATTCAAAAAGAAAAGATAATCAATCAAGAACTGATCGTTAGAAAGCCTAATTTTATGAAAAATATTGTTAAAAGACCTAGTTGTGAGTTTGATAATTGTTAAAAGTCTTAGAAGAATATCTACTTCCTTGGTTAAAAGACCTAGTTGGGAGGACTTTGCAATCTGAAATTTTGGAAACCTCCTAAGAGTCACTAGATGATTATTCTCATAACAACAAAAAATTATTTGTATATCACGTAGATCTAATTGGATGGTTTCTACTCAATCTCGAGATATTTAAATATGGATCTTTTTTTATTGAGGTTAATCTATGGGTTAAAGAGGTTACATCCCAAAATTTTAGGTCCTAAATCAATCCTATATGATGTTTTACCTAAGTTAGTAAATAGACAGCATGCTCCCTTCATAGTATAATATCTTTTGAAAAAAGTTATAAAAGGGTGAGGCCCTCAATCAAATTAAGGGGCACCTCAAAATTTCACTAGAGGTTGTTTCGATGCCCAAGAATCCTCAAATCAATTGTCTCAGCCTCAAGATGTATAGACATGAGAAGAAATGGATTTCAAGTCTTGAAAATAGTGTATCATGTAATAGATTTTTTGGATCGTCAATTCTCAAAATTTTCAAGTGTTCATAAACCAGCTCCATCTACACTTTTTTTGCTTTTAAATTTTATAATTTGAGATATAAATAAATTTTCAAGCTATTACAAAGATTTCCAATACTGAAAAAACATCGTTCAATACTATTTGAAAGTGCGTCTACTTTGATTTTTTAGGGCCTCACGCTAATACAAAACACACCCAATATCTTTTGAATTTAGAGTATAGGATTTCACTTATTGATAAAAAATGCATATCGTAAAGCATTTTATTTTTCTTGTATTGTTGAATAATCAGCATGCTAATTCAACATTAGCTACTATATAAATGTTGGTAGAGTTATAAAAACTGAGAAGCCAAAAGATTTCATGCAGCATAATGTCCATTTACTCCCTCCGGAAAAACCTAATTTAGGAGAAATTTAGGAGTCCAAATTTTGGAGAGGCTCGTCAACCCATGACGAACCTCAATTAAAAAGAAAAAAAAAAAATTCCAAATTGCACTCTATGTGCACTTGGAAAAAATAATGTCTGAAGAAGATTAAACATAGAATGTACAATTTTTCGGGGTAAAATCTAAGTATTAAAAAACTTAAATTTAAAAATTTATCTTTTAAAAACAAACTTCTAGTGATTATCAAGTGGTTCCCAAAATTTTAGATTGAAAAAAAAGAAATCCTCTCAAATCATCTGCCCAACAGATCAGGACCATAGTATACTCTCTCAATTAGGAAATTATATCATAAGTCATGGTGTATGGTATATGGTGAGCCCAAGGGGCATCCAAAATCGCGTCTAGAGGGCTGACATTAACTATTGTCTGAATGATAGCAATTCATATAAGTAAGGTTACCCTCCACCAACTCCCACTAGGAATGGACGGTTGATGCCCCTATGGTGTACCGTATATTCCACACCAGTGTTTATGGCATTTGTAGCCTTACGTTTTTTCTCTCTCTAAATGGGAAACGGGTGGTCCTTTTGGTCCAATTCCACCTTTAGAATTGTATTATATTAGATTTTTTGTATTTGTTTTGTGATTAATAAAGTTAAGTACTATTGTTAAATAAAAAAAATATTTATTATATTAATTGATGAAGGAAAAGTATACTGTGATAAGTATTTCATACTAATAGCATGGTAATGCTTATTTATTGTCCAATCTCAACAATTTATGGTCGAGATGATTGCCTATGTTCGCCTTAGTGTTCTAAAACGGGAATCGGCCACATGAATTGGGCATTTGGAAAACTAGTCTGGATTAGGGAATCATAGATCCGAGTCAGTGAACACACTCATTCTCTCTGGTGAGATTTGGTCAATCAAAAATAAAAAAATAGAAAGAGATAAAAAATAGAAAAATAAATAATTATAAATCGTGGCAACTAAGCGGTTTGGATGCTGGTTCCCTAATAGAATCATTTCTAGGTTGCTTCCCACATATTACCAATTCAGATTGATGATTCCCAATCCGAAATAGTGAATTTTAAATTTAATGTTCTAAAAAACTAAATCCGTTTACCTAGTGGCTAGGCTGATCCGGATCAGATGGATTGAACCTCTAGCATCAAATATCAAAGAAACAAAAAAGCTAATGCTAAAAAAGTTTGAAACGGAGGCAAGCCATCCAAGTCCTAGAGAACTAGATCTGAAACCAGATCGGCCACTCACAAATCTCGATCTCCATTAGATCATACCCATTCCACTCCTTATCAACTATTTTTAAGACATGGATTAGACTGAAAATCAATCGGGAAACAAAGATAATAGAAGAAAATGGGAGAGGTCTAGACGTACACGAAGGGAAGGCCGGCCCTTGAGGTATGGCGTGCTCAGCACCTGTTTATTAACAAACAAATTAATCAATTAATTAATTAATAAAAAAATCGTTAGCCACAGTCGCCATGCAAAATTGCAAGCATGGAACAACACATGTGGTCACATATGCACGTGTAGGCACTGGTGGTAGGTGTTCAGAAATTAATTAAATATGACATTTGTTGCATGGTAGGTAAGGGGACCCTGAGACATTTTGTCTTATTACGTTTTTTTAAAGGAAAAAGTTTATATAGTGCCGAGGCTCTCTCAACCATCAAATTAGAGCCTCACTTAAAAAATTTCACTAGAGGTTGTTTTGATTTTCAAATATCCTCAAATTGATCATCTCGATATCAAGATACAGGCACATGTGAAAAAATGGATTTTAAGTTTTAGAAATATTGTTAACATATTTTTTCACTGTCAATTTTCAAGATTTTCAAGTTTTCATAGATTTGCTCGATGAAAACTATTTTTGAAGCTTTAAATTTTATAATCAAAGATGAAAATATATTTTAAGGCTATCACAAATATTTTCAATATTGAAAGTGCATTTCTCAACATTATTTGAAGGTGTGATTTACTTTGATTGTTTAGAGCATCGGCTCTATACAAACAGCACCCCTATAAAAATAAGGCACGTCTTTGAATTTTGTCCAAAGATGCTCAGTTCTATTGTAGCAAAACTTATGAGGGATTGAAAATTTATGTTTAACCCTAATTATAGAATTTGAAATTTTAAAATGGTTCAGATCGAGCAGATCAATAAACGGTTGAACATCTTGAAAAATAGAGCGTCCACATAAATTGGTACAAGACAATATTTTTAAGGCTTGAAATTCTTCTCTTTCTTTATAGGATGCAGTTTGTATACGCCCGACGCTCTAAACAATCAAAGTAAAACGCAATTTCAAATAGTATCAAGAAATATAGTTTTAATATTGAAAATCTTTCTGATAGGTTTAAAATATATTTTCATTTCTAATTATAAAATTTAAAGCTTCAAACATAATGTAGATTGAGCATATCTATGAAAATTTGAAAATCTTGAAAATTGATGATCCAAAAATGCATTACAAGATGCACTATTTCCAACACTTGAAATCTATTTTTTTCTCATGTCCATCCATCTTAGCTCGAGATGATCAATTTGAGAATATTTGGGCATCAAAACAACCTCTTCTAGTGAAATATTTGAAGTGCGCCCTAATTTGATTATTTAGAGCCTCGTACTTATATAAACTTTTTCTTTCTTTATATCCATATATCTCAAAGTTGATATGATCAATGACCAATTGAATGGTTTTCTAACTTCGAAACACTCTTTTTTCCTAGATTTTTAAGGTACACCCATAATTCTTTAAGGTACACCCATAATTCTACAGTATAATGTTCCAACCTTATTATATAAGCTTTTTTCTTTTCTAGATGCCTTTATTTTTTTCTAATTGGGTTGGAAAGTTGAACTGACTCTTTTATGGATGATTGATTCTTCTCCTTACTAATTTTACCATAAACAAATTTCCAAAATATCCAATCGTTCATAGAGTGGTATCTAATAGCTTCCTAGTTCTATTCACACACGATAAGTGTTGAAATATAAACCCTCTTGTATTATGCAACACTTCGATACATGGCGTATCAAGTAAAAGAGCAACAAATTACCTTTAAAGAAAATATATTATAAAGTCCAGAATAAAGAAACTATATAATAAACTTATCCATTCACATAATGTCCATATTTTCGTTGGATCGAAAAATCAAAAACTTTGAGAATTAGACGGTCTGAATCCATCAGTTTTGTTTTGGAAATTTGTAAAAGCGAAAGGCTACTTGTTAATTGGATTTTTTTATTTTTTATTCGTCTGAAATAGACTAGATTTTTGTTTAATTTATGTTGTTGTGAGGATTATCTCATTTAGTTTTTCTTTAGCTAAATTTCTTTGAGACATTTAAACTACCGAATAATTGACAAAAATTATACCTGTATTTGTTCGTGAAGGTGCTTGATGTAGCTGCAAGCTTCGTGAAGCACTGAAGCTGTGTCTGTCTACAAAATTGAAGAGCTCTTTTACATTTCTATCATCATCATCCGAATCTTTTTCCAATTATTTGGAGTTGGCTTGCTCTTTTATTTTTATTTTTTTTTCACTTTTCCATTTTTAGAAATTGATTACTACATTGGAGGTTTGTTGAAGATGGGAATGAGTCACTAACCTTTCCAAAAGGGGAAACTAATTGCTGCAATATTGTGATCCGATCGCCGATCTTCTGACTCTTCCTTGCTGGCGTTTGCAACTGAAATCGAAAAGGTTAGCAACTTGGTTTTTTAAATACAAGTGCATATCAAGGGTCAAAGTCTATTTCTAAAAAAAAAGAAATGGCGTTTATAGAAAAGATGTGTACGGCCATGAGGGATGCAAATCCCTAACGTTATCGAGCACCTTTTTAATTGAGCGTACTTAATAAAAATATTAAAAAAATTTGATAAAATATAATGACCAAAATACCTTTTGAATCTTTCTGATAATTTTGATAATTTTATTTTATTGAGAATAGTGTTTTTATGTTGAGTGCGAGTTTGAAAAAGGAGTGGATACCCAAAATTTGGTGTGAAAATATTTTGTATAAAAAAATTAAAAATAAAATAACGTGGAGACGGGACATTATGGTTGGGGCCATTTTACCCGTCCAAAGGGGAAGTATATAAGTTTTATGCAATAAAAAAAAAAATTGCCCGATATGAGAAATTATAATGTAGAGATTAAATGGATATCTTTAAAACATAAATGGGAAAATTACGTATATATCTGTTATTACTAAAATACCTAATACTTTCCGTTATTACTGAAACGTCCATTTTTTGCACTTCATAACGAAATTTTTTAAACAATGCAGTTTTACCCTTTTTCGGTTGTTGAATAACCGAATTCGATAGATTTTCGGTTGTTTTGAACAACCGAAAAGTTAAAGTTTTCAGTTTTTGAACAACAAAAAATCCATCGAATTCGGTTGTTCAACAATCGAAAATTTAAACATTTCGGTTTTTGAAAAATCAATAATTTTTCCGTGAATAAACAAAACATATGAGGGTTATTAAAAATTTGTGTCCCCCAATACAATACAATATCGCAATACTATACAGTCTCGCACAGAGCTGAAGAGTTTGGCTCTCTGTCTGGTCTTGGTTGGTACCTTTCTTACTCTTGCCTAATACTGTTGATGAATTTTGCCACAATTAATATAATATTATATTTTTATATGTAATACTATTTATTTCCAAAATGACTTTTTGTATTACTATTATATTTTTTGTATTACTATTTATTGTGTATTGTTGATTAAATAATATTTTTTGGTAAATATTGTTGAAGTTGTTTATTTGCTTAATCAAAGATGCACACTCTTCAAATCCGAGAAATCTACGAACTCGTTGCCTTTCTTTAGCACTCATAGTTTAGTACTCACAGAGCAGCAAAGACGCACTCACAGAGCAAAGACGCAAAGAGCAAAGAAGATGAACTGATATAACTATCGGAGTCATTTTCGGTTGTTGAAAAACCGAATTCGATGGATTTTTGGTTGTTCAACAATTGAAAATGGGAATATGAATATTAACCTATTCGGCCATTTTCGGTGGTTGAACAACCGAAAATCTATGAAATTCGGTTGTTCAAGAACCGAAAAAAAAGTAAAACTATCTTTTTTAAAAATTTCATTATAAAGTCTAAAAAACAGACATTCCAGTAACAACAGAAAGTATTAGGTATTTTAATAATTACAAAAAATATAATTTCAATAATAATAGAAAGTATTGGATATTTTAATAATAACAAAAAATATAATAGATATATACGTAATTTTCCCAAACTAAATTATCAAAGATGAAAGAGAAACGAGAAGTATATCACCTTGGTGGGCTCCCCTGCAACAGGCGCATGTTGGAAGTATTCAGTGACCTCTGGACCCTTCCTTTTCTTCCACTCCCACTCCCTCTCACACTCCGCCACCCTTTTCCCTCTGCCCAAACCCTGAACAATTTTACATCAAACTAATTTTCATATTAAAAAACATTCTCAAAAAGTAAAACCTCTCAATTTCATAGTAAACCTAACCAATTTATAACCTCTCAATTTTAGATCAAAGTAATTTTCATATTACAAAATATCCTCAAAAAATAAAAGACATTTCATTGTAAACCTAACCAATTTGTAACCTCTTAACTGAAGCATTACTATGGTTCTTTATAGCAGAGTCTCTGCCCATTGCTTTCTCGGCAAATTTTATTTAATTTGGTTTTAAAGAAGTGTGACTTAATTTTTCCCTTGTATTTATTGACAGGTGGCCTATTTCCTATGAGCTAAATTTTAGGCCCAAAATTTTATAAAATCAAATTCTAAGGTCTCGAATAAAAGACGGCCAATAGGCTCCTTGCCGAGCTGAGTACTAGGTGCTACTCGAACCATTTAATAACAAAAAAAAGTGATAAAAATTATATAATATGATGTACGTACCATGATTTGTGAGTACTTTTTGTCATTTTGCATGTTTTCAATTTTTATAAAAAAATATCTCTAATTATAAATCAATTTTTCTCAATCCTTATGTAATTTTTTGAATTTTTGTATTTTATGTTGCTTTTAGTTTTATTTTACTTTTACAATTTCATTTTATTTTATATAGTTTATTTTGAAAAAGACAAAGGCTTTTTGAGTATGTACACTACCCGGCCGAGTTTTGCCTCAAGCCTGGCCAAGTCTGAGGCCCCAGGCGAGTTAAAAAAAAAAAAACATTGTTAAGATTTAAACGTTATAGAAGATTTGAAGTTTAGTGTTGTCCTATGATACTTTGATAATTTAAACTTGATAATTAAAAATGAGTTTACCTTTGTTCTTTGGGGACCCATACAAATACTCGTATTCCCGCTAGCTGATGGCGTTATCGGACAATTGCTTCCACCTGTAACATAAACGCATTATAATACTATAAATGTTGACCTTGCCTTCACCTTCACCTTCACCGTCTTTGTTTTCTTAATAAATTATTTTCAATACCTAGTTATCTTATGGAAATAAAATAGAAAGACCAACTTGGTTTAATTAAAAATTTCGGACCTGATATTGAGTTTGGAGAATTTGACCAAGCTATATTCTGTACTGAGGCCAACCCAGGAGCTTCAATGTTGCTACAGGAGTGAGAACCAATGAAGAATCCATTTGGGTTTGGGTGCCCATGCCTGAGAAATGATATCACTTTAGTAACTATCAAATACATGATTTATTTCGGAGTCGGGCTTGGGCTGGAGTAGTTAGCAGCAATAAAAATTAATTCTTACCACTAAACTAGCTTAAAAAGGATTTTTTTTTGTACTTTTATTTTTCTACACTAGTCTTCATAACATTTTTTTGACGAATACTTGCGAGACAGAGCTGTTAATGAAATCAATAATAGGATATTTGTTTCGTATTATGTACTTTAATAATAGTCTGTGTAGAGAATATATAGAGGAGAATGATAACAGAAATATGTAATAATAACGAACAGAGGCGTTTTTGAGAAATAATATGGGGTATTTACTTACATTCGGTCAAGTTCCTGAGTAACTCGTACGTGGAACTCGTTTGGACCTGCAAGCACCCCAGCTTCAGTCAAAAACATGAAAGTAGAGAGAGAAAGTAAACAGACAGGAAGAAAGAAGAGAGAGAGAGAGAGGTTTACCATAAGTCTGGAGAAGCGTGGGGAAGGACTCAAAAATTGAATTCCTCATTCTCGAAGTCAAAATCAGTTCAAGGTAATGCCCTGCAAAGGCAGTGGTACTTTCTCTCACATGAAATGCTGGACAAGATTGAACATACTGATCCATGACAAGAAGAATACCTTTTTCAAGAAGCCGTTTTCTCTCTCCTCCTACACCTCTATCTCCAAAATTGAACAAAATCCGGTTGTTTCTCTCTCTACAACTTAAAACGGTTGTTTCTCTCTCTACAACTGAAACAAAAATTAATCACAAACTCCAGTTTACTGAACAGCGATCGAGCAGAGTCCTGGTTAAGGAGAGAGAAAAGAATTTCACCATTAAAGAGTGATAAAAATCCTTAAAAAGATGGAAAATAAACAAAGAGCTGAAACAAATGCTATACTTCAAATTGGTCTAAATTCCAGGAAAAATCGTTAAAGTGAGCAGAGAAAAGACGTGTGATTCGATTGTATTATTCGCCAAAAGCTTGCAGCACAAAGGACGGTATAAAAGGCTGCATAACAGAAAAGAGAGTGAATTTTGCAGGGACCTGAAACTAATTCCCTCAGCAGAGAAGACATATGCTTTCTCGTCAGCAAATCTCTAAAGAATTTACGTAATGTGTCTATTTTGTCCCGAGTTCAAAGAAATCACAAAGCATTTTGATTAAATAATTTGAAAGCTTTACAAAAAGCAGCATAGTAATATTCACCGATCAGAAAATCAATCGGAATTTCACGAGAAATGGCCGAAGCCTTACCAGAAAACGCCTATCTACTGATTTTTTGCTGGAAAATATGAGATTCTTTTGTTCACTGGTAAAGGAACAGATTCTTTGAAGAAAACACTTTTTACGGCCAAAAGAATCATAAAAAGTTTGAGAAAGAAGAAATGCTGCAATGACAAGCTACAAAATTTCGTGGATACGATTTTTTGAGAGAACAAAAAAATTATTGGATCAGTTAATCAAGCGACAATGGAAGAAATACATAAAACTAATTGAAAAAACTTTTGAAATCTCTAAAATTGGATCATTTTCTGCTTATTTCTTTATCCGAGCACGAGAACTTAACTCTCAATAAAGTTCACTACCATAAAAAAAAATTACATATAGGCTATTAAATCAATAAAGTTTGGAATTCGAAACCTTTGCCAGAACTCTATGTCTGAAAAAATAATTGAAAATAAACAAAAAAAATCAGAGAATCCTTTAAGAATGTTTATATTTTCAGGTAAATCTTTACTGAAACCCGAGATCAAAACTCAAAGCCGAGTTACCTAAAACTAAACAGGATAATAATTTCCTGAAAACGCCTTTAAATCAAAACATTTTCTGTGAGGTCTTTACCTGTGCTGAAGATCTAAACTGAAAATCTCAGATCACTTAAAACATAAACAACATTTAAAACTTATAGAAGAAGTTTTATAATTGATTCATTTTCCAGTTTAATTCTTACCAGAGCTCCAGATAATACACGGCTGACAACAATCCGTCAAAATCAATCGATCACCACCTAATTTGCTGGAAAACTCTGCTTACGGCAAGATTCCCGTAATTAACAAAAGAATCCGCCGAGTCCTTTCTTTAACTGTCAAAATTTTTCCGTAAAACACATTCTCCGGCGAAAAAAACCTCCAGAATCAATCCCCTGCAAAGGCAGAGGAATCAGAATTCTGTGAAAGCTTAAGAGCGAGAGAGAGAGAGAGAATCAGATGACTTTAAAGGGTGAGTAATAGGGAGGCATGGGCTTCAGTGTTATGGAGAAGCTTTCCTTTAGGAGAAGGGTATTTATTAGTACGAGGGCTCAAAGCTTTGATTAAATGTGAGAGGGGGCAAAAAATGGAAGGTGTTTCTGTTTCGTTTCGTTTTCATGGGGTTTGACTCTCCGTTCCTTTTGTCTAAATGTAGGTTGGGCTTTATTGCTTGTCCCCTCTGAGATTGAGAACCTGGTCTCAAGTCTCAACTGAGTTGACCTTCACATGACCTCTTGTCCTTATATATGTTCAGCTTTGGTCATTCTCTTTTGGGGTTCCCGAAATAACTCCTTGCGAAATGTTTGTCTCTCTCTCTTTTATTTATTTTTATTTTATTATTATTATTTTTTTTATTTTATTTTTTTGGATGGGATTGAATTTGAGATGTAGTGGTGCTAATGTGAAGTTACTAGCCAAGCCTAAACCCCGTAGACTGGAAGGGACCCGACCAGACTGTGACCGAATGGATAGACCCAACCTCAAGTCCAGGTATGGGGCCAAATTTTGGACCCAAATACTGTTTGAGTTCGAATCCAGGTTTGGGTCTAGCTGGACCAGACCCATAACCTCCCTGTACCCAGAGTCATAAAATGTATGATGGCCATCATGTGTCTTTAGGCACGGGCTAGATGTTCATATTGTTTGCAACATTTACACTACTATTGGCGAAAAACAAAAAAAAAAAATTTCATATCAATAGGGTATATGATGGTTAAAAAAAATAAACTCATAGTCGTATGGTGGCAATGGATCCAACCAAACCCGGGAACCCAATCAAAATGGATATTGCTCCAAATTTTGGATTCGAATACTATTCAAGTTCGCATCTGGTTCCACATTCAACCGTACCCGACCCATTGCCAACCCTAAAACCCAGTCTTGTTAGATAGAATAGCAGTTATGTCCGTACGAAAGATAAAAGAAAAAACTACTATACAACTATGGGCATAGTGGTTGAGTACTTCGCGCTCACAGTTGGCTAATTGAATCTGGATTGCTTAGATCAAATGATGTTTATTGATAAATTCTGCTTTGTTTTTATAAGAGTATTGATGCTATGAGATTCTCTCACACCCATGTGAATAGGACCCCAAAAGATCACCATTAAATTTTGACACAGATATTTAGAAAAGTTATCAATAAACCCATTCACCCAAGTCTCATACCTATGTAATAATTTTTTTAGAGATCTATGTCAAATTCTAATGGTGATCCTTTGGGGTCTTACTCACATGGGTATGGGAGGGTCTTATGGTGTCATTACTCTTTTTATATTAATAATATTTTATGAGAAATGGTTATATAGGACCCTCCCCCACCCATGTGTAGGACCCTAAATGATTACCATTAAATTTGATACAGATCTATAGAAAAGTCAAGTGTCACACCCATGTGATAACTTTTCTAGATATTTGTGCCAACTTTAATGGTGATCCTTTGAGGTCCTACACACATGGGTTGGGGAGGATCTTATAGGATCATTGCTCATATTTTATATATATCATATTTTGTAATAGAGTGGCATTGTACGAGAACATGACGGATAGCATGCAGCCAAGCCAACACATGTACAAATGCAGGCTTGGCCATAAATGTATTTTTTAAATATAATTTGATCCTAAGTTTTAGAAAAAATATAATCTTTAACATGGAGATCATGAATATGAATAAATAAATAAATTTTGAAAAATATAAATAATGATTATATTAAGAAAATATTTGGACCGTTAGTCATAATTGTTTTTAGATGGACCACCTATTTGCATCCATCTTTAAGATGGAGGCTTTATATTTCAGGACCACATATTGTACAAATGCGTTCTAGCCCCCATGAAACAATTGTTCTAATCGTAAATATGTTTCTACATATTGGATTAAGCTTAAATTTAGTATGTCCATAATTCTCATTATCATACATTTATAAAAAATATTTAAAATTAGTTTAAAATAAATAAAATTATCAAATTACCCATGTATAGTAAATTGGTACTTTGGTAATGTTATTATTTTTAAATATTTTATGTAGGTATATGATAGTTAGAAATATAGACACTTCAAATTTAAGCTTACTCAAATGTATCAAAACGAGAAAAAATTAAAATATGCCTTACGTTATAAAAAATAGGACTTAACTATATAATATAAAATATATGGAATTATTATTAAATATAAATAATAAAACATGTTTTATATATGGTGAAATTTTATATAGAGCCGAGGCTCTAAACAATCAAATTAGAACCCACCTCAAAATTTCACTAAAAGAGGTTGTTTTGATGCTCAAATATCTTCAAATTGATCATCTCGATATCAAGATGCATGGACATGAGAAAAAAATGGATTTCAAATTTTGGAAATAGTGCATCTTGTAACGTATTTTGGACCGTCAATTTTCAAGATTTTCATAGATATGCTCGATCTACAATATTTTTTAAGTTTTAAATTTTATAATTAAAAGTAAAAATATATTTTAAGGCTGTCACAAAAGTTTCCAGTATTGAAATCATATTTGTCGACACTATTTAAAAGTGCGCTTTACTTTGATTGTTTAGAGCCCCCGCTCTGTACAAACCACGCCTTTTATATATAAACTTTCCCTTAATTTTTAAAAAACAAAATATAGCCGAAATTTTGAGGTTATGATCGGTTCACCTTTACAACCTTCAATAATAATAATAATTTTCACAAAATAGAATGACTAAACTATTCTTGAAATATTACGTGAGTATTTTGATAATTGATATTTCGAAAAAAAATATTAAAATTTATCGTTGTGCGTAAAATTGAACCCTGAAAATTTTGGGATTATATACAATGAGATTATTTACCTTTGCTATAAGATATCACAATTATTTATAACCATCCCGTGAAATCTGATAGCTTAGGTATATCACAAATTAAAAAAAAATTCTTTTGAAATTTGTGCTCTGTCGATGAAAAATATGCAACTACCCAATTTTACAATCAATGATCAAGATTCATTATGACCACCTTGTAACAAAAGTAAATAATCTCATTATATACTTTTCCTTAAACTTTTAGCTGATTCTAAATTACCAAAAGAAATTTAAAACTAATGTACCAAGATGCACTCTCAACTGTGTGATGGAGATCAGGAAACTTAAAGGGGATACGCGCCTTGTTTATAGGTGGGGTGCGGTTGAAACGGAAGGGGTAAACTAATGCCCCTGGCAAACCTGTTTACGGGACGTAAAGATTTGCCAAACCTTTTTGTGAGCACATAGACTATGCTCCCTCGGGAGCACGGTTTACGTCAACCACCTCGGTGCACTTTCAAAAAAATTTCGAAAGATGTAACTTTGGTGTCGGAAATTCCTCGATGATATGAAAAATAACTTTCATATCTAATTATAAAATTTAAGGTTTAAAAAATTAGTGCAGTAGATCTATAAAGGCTTTATAATGTTAAATATTGACATTGTAGATCGCATGTTACACAAGACTTCAAGTCTCCCATGTCCATATATCCCGAGGTTGACTACTGTCCGAACTAACATTTTTTAGTGAGTTTTTGAAGTTAATGTCATATTAAACTTCCTTCTTTGGAAAAAGTTGGGAGTTTTCCCTAAGGTTGAAGAATTTCACTTGATTATCTTGGAGGTACATGGGGATAGTTTTGTGTCAAATGTTTGAAGGACAAAGTGGTAACTTGTCTAAAAAAATTGATAACTAATTTGGGCTAGATCGCATAGAGTTAAGCATGATGAGACAGAGCTATTTGACCAACCCCTAATGCATGCAGTAGAAAAGTCTCAAATAAAACTCTTCTATTCACTCTTGGCTTTTTCTATGACTTTTAAGTTATTAAATTAAAATAAATTAATACCAAACACCAGTGGCCATGAATCCGGCAGGATGGTGATTTCTTTTTTTTTATATTTACCTCAGTTTTTGCCATTTTTATGTTGTGAAGTTGATTGTTTATTTGATTTTTTTTAAGGATTATTTCTTTAATACATTATTATCTGTAAGAAACAATGCTCAACTTCGACCATACACATGTATATGCATGGCTGCACGTGCAGCCATGCATAGATTCCCCTCACTTCTTTTTTAATTCTTAAGGAATCGGCCGGCAAATTGTATACTTGAAAATTGCAGCAAATCCAGAGCTTGGACCTTTCGATAGGAGAATATTTTGATCAAAATATTGCAAAGGAGCTCAATAGGAAACCGTACTATACACAGGTGGTGTATGGTCTTGAAATAAAAATAAAATAAAATAAAAAAAAAGTGCCAAGATTGATAAAAAAATTGTCTAATTTTTTGCGAACAAGATCGATATATTCAAGAATTCAAATTCTAGCCTTTTTTTTTACAATAAGAAATGTTCATATGGTGACATTTAGATGGATCCCAAATTTCTGGTTCATACTAATTAGGCCGTCTCCCCGAAGGAGTTGTTGTACAAAATGCTCCGTGGGAGCATACTATGCGCGCACATTTGTATATTCTCTTCCCACTCGTTTTTCGGGGTGAATAGTTTGCCCATTCTTGAAAAAACTTGGTTTTGAATTTGGGTGGAAATTTTTCTAAAATAGTGAAATGATGGCCAAAATTGCAAGTCTAGAAATTCAAGCCATCCATACAAGAAGGGAAAAAGAAAACAACAACGAGTGGATATTCTGATAGGAAACGTGCATATTCATAACCTAGTTATGGGCCTCTAAATCACCTACACGCTATTTCCACCTCATAATATGCAAGATTCGAGTTTGCACCTTAGGATCCAAATAACCCATAATTGATAGTTAACTT